AGGTCCGACCGGGGTCCGGGCTCTTTTCGTCCAGGGCGGGAGGGTCACCACGACCCCTCCCCCCCCCCCCCCCCCCCCCCCCTCACCAGTCCCCTACCCGCATCCGTCGCGCCGGGGGGGCAACGGCGATCGGCGCCGTCAACCCCCCCGGATCCCTTAGGGCGGCGGGTCCCGCCGGCGCCGCGGTTGGCGCCGGCCTCTTCTCCGAGCGGGATCGCTCCTTTCGCGATCCCGCTCGGCCCTCTCCTTCAGGGCGATGACCTCCTCGCAATAGGAGATCACCGCCCTCCACCTCGTCTCGCCGGCGAGCATCTGTCTTACGACGCTCGCCGGCGAGAGGTCTTGCCCCACCTCCACACGCAGGGCGTGGCGGGCCAACTCAAACACAGGGCACACCTCGAGGGTGTGCTGTGCGGTGTCCCGCCCCGCCCCGCAGTGCCAACACTTCGGTGTTGGCTCCCTCCCGATCCGGCACAGGTACTCCCCGAAACACCCATGTCCGGAGAGCACCTGTGTGGTCCGGAATGTCAGGGCGCCAAAGCCGCGATCCCGCCACTCTGACAGCACCGGCAGGACCGCCCCGACGGTGCGGTTTCCGGCGGCCACCCCCTGAAGGGAGATGCGCCACCTTTCCACCGCGACCAGTCGGGCCCGGCCCCGATACTCCTCGACCGTAGGCCCCGGCGGGTCCTCCCCGGCCTGACGGAGGGCTCTCGAGTACCAGTAGGTACTGGCCTCGACCTCCGCCAGGTACCGGAAAGGTACGAAACCCGCCAGGACCATCGCCGCCGCGTAGGAAATCGTGCGGTATCCCCGCACGACCCTGACGGCGAGCCGGCGCTCCACCTGCTGCAAAACATTGCAGCTGCGCCTGCTCGCCGCCAGATCGCCGGCCCATATCGGTGCCCCGTACAGGGCTACGGACCGGACGATTCCCGCGTAGAGGCGGCGAACCCTCACACCCGGCCCCCCGAGGTTGGGTAAAAGGCGGCCAAGAGCGGCCGCCACCCTATCCAATCGGGGAGCCAGACGGTCGAAGTGCGTATCGAACCGCACCGCACTCAACCTAACCTAACCTAACCCAACCTAACCTAACCTAACCCTAACCTAACCTTTTTTTTTTTTTTTTTTATTTTTTTAACGAGGTGGGAAAAATGCGTTTATGCAGACCGGGCAAGGTGTTATGTGCCCGGTACTGTGGGACTCCCATATGGTCTACCCACTAAAAAACCCACCTCGATTTCCCTTCCATTATGCCCCTAACCATACGAAACTCCGCCCCCGGAACCGCTCTGGCCAATGGTCTTCAGCAATACTTCTGGGGCGGGCGGGAGAAACGGGGATCCACCCACACATGGGCGCCTAAGTGCTGTCCACTTTCGAGCTATGCAACACTACGGGCAGGAGGCGCAGCCTACCGACCACGAGGCGTGTTCCCGCCTATAATCCGTTTTCGCCTATAATCATTCGTTGGTGATAAAATAGTCTGGAACGTCGAAAATTAAAACCACATACTGGAGTAACCCGCTTGTCAGTCATTAAAATATAAAATCTAGTCGATGGTCAGTAGTTAAAATAGTCACCCTACCCTATTCAGTAAAGAATAGGGGCGTACGTCACTAATTAAATAAATAAATAAATAAACATCTAAATAAATAAATAGGACGATCACTCTACTGGTGTGTAGAGGGCACCTAGTAGCACAAATAATTGCACATCCTCTATTCTGCCACTATGTGGTCGAACGTGGCCTTCTCCTCTCTCGTGCCTCCCTTTCCATGTTCCTCTCGTGGGCCTCTTTTTCTCTCATTGAGCCTATAACAAAGCCGATAATCCTGTCCCTTTTCCTGGGTTCTTTCAACGAGTCGATGAAATTTCCAGTGTCCAGTGCCACGCCCACATCCGCGCATAGGGCCGCCCTCTCTGTCCTCCACTTCCCGTAATGGAACAGGAAATGATCTGGGTCGTCCACCTCTCCCGGGCAGAACCAGCACTCTGAGCGGTCTTGTTTACCAATTTTTTGTAAATATGTGCCAAAGCACCCGTGGCCCGTGACAACTTGCGTCATATGAAAACTCAACAGCTTTGGTCCCCACCCTATCCATTCCTTAAGGCGGGGAATCAACGCAAAGGACCACCTACCCTTGCTAGACTCCGCCCACCTGCTTTGCCAGGCCTCTAGGGTGGCCTCTCGCTCCTCCTTCTTGATATCCCTCACCCCCTCTATCTTGGCAGGGCCCAATTCCTTACTCCTATAGTACACTCTCTCTCTCTCCCTTACCAGGAGGTCTATAGGGATCTGTCCTGTAATAACACACAAGGCATCCGCGGACGTTGTTCTATATGCTTGCGCGACTCTTAATAACGCCGTCCGTTGCGTGCTAATAAGTAGTTTACGGTTAACACCCAGTTCCAAACCCGGGGCCCACAGTGGTGCCGCGTATAAAATTACCGACTCCACTACTTTATAGTAGAGCCGTCTCGCCATATTCCGAGCCCCTCTCAAGTTTGGCATAAGTTGTGCCAGGATATTGGTGTATTTCAGCGCTTTGTTACAGGCTGTTTCAATGTGAACGCGGTACCCACGGTTCATTTCCAGGATCAAACCTAGATAGCGTGCTGATCTGCTCGTTCTTATGTCGGAGTCGCCACACCTGAATGTGAGGCCTCCGCACACCTTGCGGCCCGTCAGGAGGATCGCCTCCGTCTTATGGTGGGCGAGCTTAAGTCCCTCTGACTCATACCAGCCGCTCATGTCTCTTATCGTTCTTTCGGCCACGCCCACCATCCTGTCAAAATCATCGTCGATAATGACGATACCTATATCGTCCGCGTATCCTATCAGGTACACGTCCCTCCGAAGTCTAATACGCAATAATCCGTCATAAACCAGATTCCAGAGGATAGGTCCTATAACCGACCCTTGTGGTACTCCTCCGAATACCTGGAACCGTAGCGTTTCGTCCCTCGTGTTCAGCATGATCCAGCGATCCTCCAAGTAGCTGCTAATAAACCTAATCAATTCTCTGGAAAAACCTCGTTCACGCATGCACCTTATAACACTCTCCCACCTGACCGTGTTAAATGCGTTCTTCACATCCAGCAGAATGAGCAGGCAATGACGTCCCTCTCTTCTGGCAGTCTCCCAATGTTTCCTCAGCTTCTCCATCGCGTCTAGAGTGGACCTTCCTCTCCTAAACCCAAACTGGTTATCTGCTAGGTCATTTTTGTCGAGCTCAGTTAGGATCCTGCTCTTAACCACTTTCTCTAGCAGCTTCGCCAGGCACGATATAATGGAGAGGGGGCGGTACGCCTTCTCCTCAATACCCTGCGCCTTCGCCTTAGGGAGTAAAACCAACCTCCCCGTCTTCCAGGGGGTGGGCCAATAACCCCTCCTATAACACGTAGTAAATATGTGGGCGAGCCATTTGGACGCGCCCATGGCGAACTTTTTGGCCACCGCTGACGATATTCTATCTGAGCCCGGTGCCTTCTTAGCCGACATCCTCCTCGCTAGTAGGAAAATCTCCGCGGGTCTAATCACATCCGGTCTCTCAACATTCCGGTGAAATTCCAGTGGGTCCGGGGGGTCAGACGGCCCACTAGCCCCTACTGAGGTCCTCCCAACTACAGGTAAGTATGTCGGTAAGTATCCTTGGGCACTCCCTGCCCCCATCCCTCTTCCTCTCACCATGTCCGCACCACCATTTCCATCAGGTCCCTGCGCTCTATCATCCTCTGATAGGTAAGTATCCCCGATCTCCTCTTCGTTCACTACATTAATGTCTATACTTCTTTCAGGTTGCCGTGCTACAGGGGGTTTCAACATGAACAAATTCTTCACTACCGTCTCCACCTCTCCCGGGCTCATAACGTCGGGCTTGTTCGCCTTCCCCTTTAACCGTTTCATCACTATCTTGTACGGTCTCCCCCATATGTCACCATCGACTTCGTTTAGTAACTCCCTCCAGTTTACTTTCTTAGCCTTTTTTACTCCCCTATCCATGTCTTTTTTAGCCTTCTTGTACTCCTCATGTTTAGTTGCTATGTCCAGTTCATTGCCCTTTGCCCTTGCCCGGATATATTTCCTCCGGCTTTTATTAACCAGCCTTCTCATTTCAGCGATGGACTCTGTCCACCAATAAGCCGGTTTGCGGTCACTCTGAACCGCCCTACTATAATAAGTGTGCTTATTGACGGCCTTCTCCAGCTCTTCGATGAACTTATCCACCTCATTTGTGGTACCTGTCCTTCCCAGTTTCCCAAAGTTTTCGTCACCGTATCTCTTGAGAAGGCTGGCAAGGAGCCTATCCTCATCTATCCTACCCTTCCCCAGGTTAAAGGGGTCCTGGTCTCGCGGCAGCCCCGTACCGTCACCCCTAAACTCGTGCAGGATATACCTGTGGTCAGAAGCCGTAAATTCATCAAGGACCATCGATGCATCATGGGTACTCAGCGCCTGTTCACTACCAAGAAGGAAATCAATTACCGACCCCCTTCCCCTCTCACAGGTCACGCCCCCTTCGGCTATTACGGGGCGTAGCCCAAGGCTCGACGCCAGTTGGTATAAAACCCTGCCCCTCCCACACCAATCTGCCGCACCCCAGAGCGGGGACTTAGCATTGAAGTCCCCCATTACTACGATCCTGTGATGGGACGCACTCAATTGTTTGACCAATAGCTCCAGCCCCGAGAACACATTCTCCACCTCCTGACGGCTAGCATTAGGGGACACATAAACACTGACGATTCCCACGTCGTTGTAGCTAATTGCCACATAGCCGTTACCACTGCCAAATATTGACGTCTGTCTGCATTTTTCTAGCCCCTCACCAGTGATGTATATCGCCGCTCTGCCCGTAGTGTCGCTAAACCAGCTCTCAGGTACGGTGTAGGGTTCGGAAACCGCTACGACGTCCACCCTTCGCTCCGCTGCTCCGACCAGCAACAGGTCGTGCGCCAATCTGCAGTGGTTTAGGTTCACTTGCAGTATCCTCATATTACCCTCGCCTGCTTTGCCTAAGCGCCTCTTTATACCTTGGGCACCGGACCGAGGCCGCTACGTGTCCCGCTTGGTCCGGTGGGAGACCATCTGCCACACAAAGCCTACACCTTGTCTCATTTTTGCAGTCCCTCATCTGGTGCCCTCTGTCTCCGCACTTTCTGCAGAAGCCATCTCTATCGCCCGTTACATTGCAGGCACTCGCAACATGGCCAATAGCGTGGCACTTATAACAGCGCAGCAGCCGTGGAATCTCGCGTGCCGTGACAACAGTCCAGCCAATCAAAATTCTCCTTCCGTTCAGGAGTCGACTCATCTCGGCAGCAGGGCCCTCAATCACGGCCACTCTGCTTAGCCTGGGATCGGTGCGGAAGACCTTCACCCTGACCCCCCTGGCTTCATGTCCCAGCTCGCTTTTTATCGCCTCATACACCTCTTCCTTCTCAACCGATGGATCTATACCTCTTATCTCTATGTCCATCATTTTCTGGAGCCTAGTGACCTCGACTTCCGGGCCCAAATTCCCTTCCAAATTCTTTCTGAGTCCCTCCAGGTCCGCTCCTTGATCAAACTCTATGAGCAGGTTACCTGCCCTGGTCTGCTTCACATTTCGGACTCCCTCCGGGATCTTACCCACTGCACCCTTAACCCTTTTGAGGACATCCGCAAAAGATATCTCCTTCCCGAAACGGACCGCTAGTGCCTGCGGCTTAAAATTCCTCCTCGGGGTAGTCTTCTCCGCGCTACCCCTTCCCTTGTTTGGTCTGGGGGTTTCCCTCTTGTTGGGGGTGGTCCCCACCCCATCCTCCTCCTCCAAGTTGCTCCGCCTTCTCCTCCTCCTGACTTCCGACCAACCCGGCTCCTTAAAGGCTCCTTCCCTCTCCTGTCCTGTCGTCTGTTCTCCATCCCCATCATTTCCCACATTCTGGGTCTCCATCAGTCCATAATTACCCTGGAATCTTGTCCTCTTTCCCTGCTTGTTTATAGGGGGGGTGGTCTCCTTCCTCTTCTGCTGCTTTCCAGCCGGGAGAGGAGGGAAATCACTCCTCAAATCTACTAATGCTCTTCATTTTCTTTTCTTTTGCAGGTCCACCATCCGTAGGTGAGTCTGTAGGCTCCATCATCGCCGGCTTCAATTGGGTACCCTTGCTTTTCTTCGCAGCTGTATGATCGGTATGTACTTTTCTCAGGTCCCCTACCGTGTCCATTACCTCCTGTATGTGGCCCTTCATAGAAGCGTACGTACTTCTTAGTATAAAATCCACCTCCTTATCTCCCTTCAATATCAAGTTATCGAACACCGTGTTGTGGTCGTTAATCACACTCAATAGCTTCTCCATGGCCGCTAAACCAGCGTCCACCTTCTCCTCTAGCGTGAGACTGGTCCTCCTTTGTTGCGAGAGGGTAGGGGTTCCCCCTCTCCTTCCCCCTCTCACACTCTTCTTACTCGTTTCGCTTTCACTTTCCGCCTCGTCTCCCGTTAAATCAATCGACTCAAGTCTCCGAGTTGTCGCTCTCAAGACATTACTCTTGGAGCCGCTGGGTGGGGTCCTACTCAACTTCGGTCTCCTCGCAAAACCGCGACTTGTCACCAAGTCTCCCGGGTTCAACGCCGGGACTTCGCCAGTAACCTGTACTGGTACGGGAGCCTGGCGGTCTGCCACCCGTACTGTGCAGTCGCTAGATAACGACGCGGGGGAGCCTGCACCTACGCTGCCCACCGCGCCGGTACTGGGGGATCCGAAACCCCCTGCACCGTAAACCTTCTTACTTTTGCCGTCGTAGTTCATCATAATTTTAAATAGAATAGTCCATATAACAAGCCAGGTCGTCATAAAATAAGTCCAGTCCATTATCCATCCGTTATACAATAGCATAGTCCGTAAATCAACGCCAAGTCATCAACGTAAGCTGAGATATGCACACAATGGTTAACACGACCACCTGGACTAAAAGGCCCCTGAATATCGCTTGGGCACTTCCCCGCACCCCATAGTACCGACAAATCACGAAAAACTCACAGCCACTTTGAATCACCCTGTACATGTCGAGGGGGAGGGACTCCCCGCGGGACCTCCGAGGTGATAACCATCAAAAACACATGGTAGGTGGAAAATCCGAACTTTGTTCTAAAACTCTATTGTGGTTCTTATATTTCCCTCGGTCACTTGTTCATTCGCTTCTACACCTCCCTACTGACGTCATTCCGCTATGGGGTCCTAAGGACCCCAACCCCTGAATCGGGTGAACTCTCCTTACACTGGGTGTCTCGTAGCCCCATGGGTTTACGGGGACCCCAACCCCTTATCCTGGAGATCCCGCCTCACATCGGGTGCTTCATAGCCCCCTGGTTTCCCTTCAGCCCCGGTCCCTTATCCTAGAGGACCATCTTTACATTGGGTTCCCCGAGACCCCGTGGGGTACCCGGAACCCATGGAAAGTCAGAATTTGCTTCGAGGCCGAAAATAGACAAGTCTGTCGCGCATCACGGGCACGCACCACGTCATCATGACGTCACGGGGTCTCCAATGCCCTAGTGGGGTCCCCAGGTCCCATGAAAAGACAAAATCGCTTCATCGCGAGCATATAACAAGGTTCAGCGCGCACTCTTTGCCGCGCACGACGTCACCGTGACGTCATGGGGCCCTTAGAACCCCGTGGGGTCTTTAGGGCCCCATGGGTCAAAATGACCCCTGGGTCCCCCAGGACCCCGGAAATATATTATTCGAAATCCGTAATAAAAAATTATCGAGCCATTTTATCGCGCACCACTATAGGAGCCACTTAATCACCGACCTGCAGTAGCGGCCAGCCACCGCGCACTACTTCTGCGACGATGACGTCAAAACCCAGACTTTGCAGTACACCGAAGTATCTAGTCCAAATGGGGTGGGCGCCTAATACTTTAAAACGCTGAAAACGACGCGAAAATTAAGCGAATCCTGTATAATGTTCCTTATAAAAACGTTCAATAGCTATTTAGGTCCTTCACCCCATTCGCCAACATACACTAAATGTTTATAAAAGTCCCGCAATAAATTTTCTAAAATTTTCCCATTGCTCCGGGCCCCCGCACTGCTAGCTCCTTCGGTGTTCTTCATCGGATATTTACATATTGCGCCGGCGCGAACCGTTTAACGCACTCTGATTGGGTAATCAGCACCTTGCGCATGCGCACAACTCGAAAATTTGCCCGAGTCGTCGCGCTGGCTGCATCCGGTTGTCGTTTATCGTTTCCTCTTTCTTCCACGTGTTAATTTCCGTGCTTTAACGACTCAAATCTCCGAAAATATCTATATAAATCGACTCACCGTTGTTGTACGTCGTCTCTCGCGTCAGTGTGGTGTTACCTTCGTGCTTTTTGTGCGTGTATTGCTCCTGGTGTCGTCCTGTTGTGCCTGTTAAGGTGTTCAAGTGCTATCCACCGCGTGGTCCCGCCATCTTGCTCTCCACATGTCCCCAATTGTTTCCACGTTATTTCGCCTGTGTTTCGCCCTTTTCTGTGTTTGTTTGTGCCGAATCAGCCGTTGTTAACCCCTCTCTACTCGTTTATGTGCAAGTTAAACCCGTTCCTGTTGAGTGCAGTTTGTTTCACGCGTGGTAATGTGATCCACCTGTCACTTTCTCTCTCCGATGAGATTTAAACGCCTATAATTTGTTTATTCCCGGTCCGATTTCTACAAATTATGGCTTAAAACTCACACACTACCTTCAATCCGCTATGCGCTAGGCACCACAGGGGATTGAGGAGCCACGCCGTAACACCTCCGATCAAGCGGTAGGATATTTTAACCTGCACGGTTTATGCGCAGGATTTTTCTTCGGCCACGACCAGGAACCGGAGCTCCTGCTCAACGGGTGATCGCGCCCCTACTTCACCTGCCTGCCATTAGCGAGGCCAGGACTCTCTCTTCGGCCACGATCAGGAACCGGAGGACTTTCCCACTCATCGGGTGATCGCGCCCCTACTTCACCTGCCTGCCATTAGCGAGGTCAGGAGCTTCCTCTTCGGCCACGACCAGGAACCGGAGGACTTTCCCACTCATCGGGTGATCGCGCCATGACTTCCGCCTGCTTGCAATGCGAAGACAGGGCTTCTTTTTCGGCCACGACCAGGAACCGGAGCTCCTGCTCAACGGGTGATCGCGCCCCTACTTCACCTGCCTGCCATTAGCGAGGCCAGGACTTTCTCTTCGGCCACGATCAGGAACCGGAGGACTTTCCCACTCATCGGGTGATCGCGCCATGTGTTCCGCCTGGCATATATGAGCACAGGGCTTGTTCTTCGACCACGGTCAGGAACCGGGAAATCCTTTCCCCGGTTGACCGCGCCATGTCTTGGTACGCTGCGACCCTCGATGACTTGTCCCATACATACTCCAGACACACACACACCGCTTCCAAACATCATAGCATCGAAGTCCGAGCAACCCAAGCAAATAAAAGGAGGCATGCAGAATAATCATAAAGCAAGTAGGTACATGTGAACCTGGCATAATACGACATAATACAACGTATAATACGGCAAAACATGAGTAACCCATTCACTAAAAGCGTCCGCCGTAATACCAACACCAACTAGACACGCAGCGCCATCACACCGTCATGTCGACCAGAGAAAGAAATGGATCACCAACCCGTAAAAAACAGTCCACAACTGACACGAGATATTTGTGCCCTCCGAATACTAGGTATACTCAATGGAAGTGCAGGCAGGAATAACAATCCTGAACAATTATAAACATTTCTAAACATGATTGCAGTAAATGTAAGTAAAGAAAGGAAGGAAAAGAGAAAGAAAAGGAGTGGTCTACTGACAGTTGACAGGAAGCAGCCAAAATCAGGCTAAAACAGACGTTATCACATGAAAATACAGAAGACCACGCATCAGCGCAAGACATTATCCTTGTGAGCATTTATAGTGGAGCGACGGCTGTGTATCCACATTAGAGTGATAACACAGTATGATCCACAATAAGAGTAAGAAAGAAAGCAAGTACGTAAATTTAACAGAGTACAAGAGTACCATGTACAATGAAAAACGAAGCAGGATAGCTAATTATCATAAACTCTCCACTATCAACTATCAATTATCATAACGCTCAGGACTATTATGCCGCCAACCCATTAATTTTAAACACTAGAATAGCAATTCAATATCAATATCAATTTACAAACAAGCGACACCGCAGCATCATGTGAATGTTGCCAAATCATACAGACTACATCCCCATTGTGACCCCATTTGTATATCCATGAAGAACTCAGTACAGAAGTAATAATGAAACAATATCACGATAAAGAAGTCAAGACAGCACTGTATCAGTGCGGCAGCAAGGAATGATTACATCAAACGATCAACTGGAACTTTGCATTCCAGTCAAAGTAAACTGCACCCAGATTCCGTCAAGACTTAATTGAGATCCAGCACGCCCTGTAGTTAATAAAATAAATTAAAATAAAATGAAATAAAATAAAATAAAATAATCACAGTTAAAGTTAAAGACAGCTGGCAAAAGCGGCAACGAGCAACCGCAGCAGCGAGAGATGAAATTAGTTAGAGGAGTATAATAGTGACCGCTAAAATGTACATGACAAACATTCGAATCAACTCAGCCACACAAACTGCGTTCAGCTCTGCTGTATTGAGTAATAACTAGTATAGGCGATAAGTAACCGATAATCGAGCAAGAGTGTGGAAGGAAGTATATAATCCCTTAGAGCGTAGACATCAAGTTCTATCAAAATATAATCAGAAGCGTAATATAATCATAGGCGTGACTGTGCTCGCTTACTTAAACCAAACCAACTAACCCATGCTCGCAACACTGTATAGAATGAATAAATAAGGCAGATGTAAATTCATACATGTAGTATGCATGAGATTGAACACAGCATAGTAATGACACATAAGTCATCTTGCCACACAATACAGCA